GGGGGGGGGGGGGGGGGGGGGGGGGGGGGGGGGGGGGGGGACGAAGGTCAAGCACAGACCTACACCGCCCGGAGATCTTATCCGTCTCTATCAACCCTTTGAGGAAGTTGACAGGGACAGCCAGTGATACGTTTTTTGACGGGTACAAATGAGAACGGAGCGAGAGAAATAACTAACCCCTGGTGATGAGATGGTAGCACGGTGGGATCTACCAACAAATACCACAAAAAAAAAGAAGCTGTCCGAGTTCCTCGTCCAAGTGTGCGACGCACACTTCGATGCCTTTTCCGCTCGGCATGTTGGGACATTTGTCACACAAAGAGCGGTCAGCAGCAAAGCCAGGGTACCTATCCGAAGCATGACAGGGTTTCGTCGAGAGTGGTAATGGTGTCCCGCTTGCTACCCGTTCTGATGTACCTGGTATTGTGCGTACCAGTCGTACAGAGCTCGTAAGTATGTCGTGATGAAAACCGAACGCGAAGCGCGCTGGCCTGGCACACCACATAAAGAAAAGGCATGCACCGTTCCGGCAGGCGCCACGAACCCTTACCTACCAACTTCGCCACAAACCAATATTGCCAAGTACCGCAAGGTATCCTGTAAAACGCCCGTCCCTGCTGGCTCCCTCTCTCGCCTCAGGGGTTCAAAATGGGCCATGTTCTCGTGGTACAAAACTACCATACCGGTATGCAACAAGAAAAGACAAGGCGAACCCACCGCATAGGTATGGCTTGCAGATGTCGTCGTCCCAGATTTTCCTGGAACGGTTTGTCCTCTTGTCCACAGGAATGTCCCGTTCCCTGCCCATCAGCTGCTCCAGCAGCGCGCGGGCCTCGTCCATGGTTCTGGATTGCTCGCTCCAACTTGTGTGATCCCTCTCCTCTCCGCTGTGAAATTTGGCGACACACGTGCCAGCAGCCATTGTGTTGGTCGGAAGGAAGAGGGTTGGTTACCATCGAATGATGTTGTCGGCGAAGACACGCATAGACTTCGCGTTTAGCTCTGGGTGGTTCCTCGGGCCGTGCGTGGGTTTCTTTATCGGCGGAAGACGCGGATGCCGTTGCAAGAACGCGCGACAATCGCCATCGAGGCACGAATCGCGAACCTCCCCTGCATCGCCACACATGACGTTGCCAGTGATGTGTATCCAACCGTAGCATACAAGACAAATTACAAACACGTGGGTCGCCGCTATCCCTTCTTCATTGACACCAACACACACGGTCCTTTACACCAGTTTACGGGTAACCACAGGCGTACGATCCGTTCGAGGCTTGTACGAAACGGTTCTTGGTGTTGAAACAACACGCCGTCGAAGAGGTGCCCCTCCGTGGAAGGGTTGCGCACAGGCAGCACACATACAACTGGGCTGGAAAATCTGAAACATCTGTTTTTGTCACCCGAGGTTGTGCAAATCTTACATCCCACGAACAGAGATACATAACCAGCACAACACATGTACCTGCACAACATCCGCAACAGCCGTGCCAAATCGCTCGTTGCTGCTATTAATACCAAAGTGTTGCGGCCTGAGACCTCGATCATTTGGCGCTCTGAAATCAGCACAAGGTGAGACAATTACGCCAAATCCTTGTGTGGTTCAAGAGAGCAAAAAAAAAGAGGGATTCACTGTTTTCTCACACCACCCCGCCGTATCTCAAGCCAGCACAGGGTTCGCCCTACTTCGCGCAAAGCGGGGGCTAAGACTACTGTGCTGGTGCTGGTGCTGGTGCTGTGTGCTGCATAAAAGTAGAGTTGGGTGGGGTGTGTCTGTCTGCCCGATCTCCACACCCAACACCTTCTCTCGTGTTTCCAGTAGTGCAGACGGACCTTCAAACTCGGGTGGAAAACCCAACCAGTGCGTACCAAGCAATCAAGGCCTTGCCCAGTAGTTTCTCCAGGCACACAGGCAGTCCTTGCACACCAGTTCACCCCAGCAAAGCTTTCGACAGACAAACACACCTCTGGCAGACTGCGGCACAAACCCTCCGAAGTCTCGTGGAGGGTTTGCGCGCGAGCCCAAATGCACGGGGGCAAAAACCTATTGCAAGTGACTTTTTCGTACCTCACCTTCGAAAGCAGAGACCCCAGTTGCAGCGTGAGAGCCGCGGTATCTCCCTGACCGCTCAGATCACGACGACACTGCCGCGAACAAAGGAGCGGTTGTGCACGAAAGCACAGCGCTGCGCACAGCCCAAAAAATAGTCGGGGCCCCGCAAATTCGCGGGGTTCCGCAGATTCGCGCACCTGCAGAAAATGGCAAGAGATCTGCCGCCGCCTACCCCACCTAGCGCAGGCGACAGAGGGAGCAAGAGGCCACAAGGGAGGCAGACGTCTGACCAGGTGGGCTTTGAATCACACTGGGACTACTGGACAACTTTTGTTCTGACTTAGAGTTAGCGCCACGAGGAGATATTCGGAGATTGCCGTGAGCGTACCACCACGCGATGCCGCCGCACACAACCCACCGGGGTCCTTGTGCTCACCTCCCAGGAAGCGCTGCGACCGTGTTGCAGAATACAGCTGGTCATTCAGTGTGGCAAACTCAGTTGGCTATCTAGCACAGAAAGTTTCAGGCAATTCCATCCTGAGGAAACTTAGCTTGGCCGTGTTGAACATTGAAAATCTTGGCGGCGGCGGGGGAACATGCGCAAGCTCTGCACGCTTACAGCAACGCGTTACGTCGCCGAGAAACCTTGATGGTCGACGACGTGGCTAATTTCGATAAGGCGAGAGTTAGGACGTCGGGCCTCAGGAAGTTTACAACTTATTCGCCTTGACAGTGCTGAATCAGACCTACATAAAGCACATTTTGTGGTGACAAGCGGTGGCGATCCAGCGGGACGCAGCTCGCACTGAACCGATGCTGCAACAGCACGACACATGCTCTCCGAAAACCCTCCACTCATGATCACTGCTTTAGATGAAGGGTTAGCGGTTTGAATCCTACAAAAGATTTAGCACGTGCGAAAAGGCTGTCAAGGGAGGTCGTCATGACGTTGTCAAGCGTGGAGATAATTACTCCGTATAAGGGAGCTGCAACAGAAAATCTACCCCGCTTGTGCCGCGTTCAATCCCGTAGGCGGGCTTAGACCTAACTTGCGCTCGTGGTCGTTGCTGTTGCCTGGGTTCGTCCTTTTCCATTGATTCGGGCTTGGGGCGCGAAGTCTCCATCTGTTGTGAACGGGATCAGCCCACTGCATGCGGACTGGACTATTGTTTGAAGCGGCGCGGCGCCACAGTCGTGGGCGGGTGGCGCCGCCCTCGCACCCTGACCGCACCCCGCTCTCCCCGCGCGCAACCGCCAACGACAACGGCGCGATGACACGAGCGACTTCCCCGAGCTGCAGTGGCGGGGACACGGGTTCCCCTAGTCGTCAACAGGTTCGCAGCGCGAAGGAGTGCGCGAGATTGACTGCGACTACGCCCAGGAAAAAAACGGGGAAGCGCGCCCCCGTAAATTCAGGAGCACGTGTGAGGGGTTCGGGAGGAGGGTCGGGAAGGAAGCGCGTGCGGTCACGGGCCCGAATTTCGGTGGGCACTAAACAGTCGCAGAGCAGGCTACAAACGCAGGTGGAGGAAAGGTTGGCGACGGCAGACTTGGACAAGGAGCATGGGGAGCAGCTGGCTAAGGCGGAGGAAGAGTCCCGACGGCGTAGGAAACGCCTTCCCGATGAGGCGTGCGCGGAAGCTCGACAAAATGCGCCTGGGCCTGCATCTGGTCTTCGACGCCAGAGTTTAGGTGGGAAGAGCAGACAAGTCGGGAGTACGGAGACGCAAGGCCGCGCTATGCCCTGCCGTAAACCGGTGTGTGGCTGGGTGACGACTACCCCGGGTCACCAGTGCAATAAATGTCCTGAAGGGGTCACGCACTGGGCGGAAGATAGGTTATGTACCGCGTGCCATCGACCGCCCAGCGAGAGAGGGTTCGTCCATCTGCATGTCAAACGCATTGACTCGGCCCGCTCCCTATTGGCCGACCTGCCGTCTGGCGAGGCGGGGGTTGTGGCGATGCTGCGTCAGTTTAACCCCCAACCTGGCGGGTGTCTCTGCCAGCGAGACGGCTGTCTCATGGCCCGCCTGGGTCGCCACGAAAAGAACAAGGCCACGCACACATGCCAAGGACCTGGAGACAACATGCCATGTTCGGTGTCAGGAGTGAAGAAGAAGCAGGGGAGGTGGTATTCCGTGTCTGGCGATGAAGAAGGTGGGAGGGTTAGGGTGTCAGCGGGAGGCGGCGGTATGGTGTGCCAGGCCTGTAACCAACGGCGTGCCCGTGAACGGAAGAAGTCCTTATCGGTACGACAGCCAGGGGATGGCGGGTCCGGAGTTGCTGGAGCTTCCTCGTCGTCCCAAGCGCCAGCCATTGGGAGGGCGGACGTCGTGGGGTCCAGCACCCAGAGGACAAGGACAGGCAAGGGAGCATCCACCGACGAGGGCTCTGGCATTGCGACTGGCCGAGCGCTTGGGCGACATGTCAAAGCGGCGTCGATTGTGCGCTCGCGGGTGGAAGGGTCCGTAAAAGGCGGGGAGATCCTTTTCTGGAAGGACGTTGCGAAGTGGTTGACGGCCGAGCGAGCTAAGCTCGGCGAGGAAAGGCTGCAGGGCGGCTCCGTACGGGAGAAGGTGAAACAAATGTTCGATAGCATCGGCCGTTCGTCGGACTGCAACGCGAGGGTGGTGGATATCCGAGGGAGCAGGGGTGCGGGAGGAGACGGACGCGAGAAAGCTCTCTGTCTGTTCCCGAAAGATCTATCCGACGAAGCTGTCGTTGGGTACCTCCTACGGATGCGTAAAGCGGAGGGAGCGACCCTGAAGTCTGAGCTGGAAAGGGTTGCTCAAGACCCTGCGGACCCCCACGACCCTGTCTTCGAGGAGGAGAGGATGGCGGTGGTCAAGACTGCGGGGGAGATTGTCCGGCGTGATATTGAACTGGAAAAGAGCCTGCACAACGCGCGTCCCCCAGGTCAGTCAAACATCAACGTGGAAGAGTTGGAGCGGCCTGTGGAACGGACGGCGGATACCCTACTTGCAATGCCCCCCACGACACTAGGATTCTTCCAGAGCGTCACCGACGTGGACCTCAATGTCGAGCAGAACCCTGCGGATCCGCCCAAGGATGCAGGGCCTTGCAAGGTGTGGGAGCGCGGGTGGCGAGAGGAGTTTGAAAAGGGTATCGGCGTTATGGACAGGCCAAGTCCAGCCACAGCCGGGTCGATGGGTGAAACGACGGTGGGCTCTGCTGGTGGAGCCGGGAGTGGTGACGTCGGCGCAATATCGGGGGGGGTGCCGGTCCTCCCGGCGTCTGAGACACGTGCGAGGGCTGTCGATAAATTCAACCGGTGTTGCCGGTCCATTCGTCGACGGTTGACGGTGATGTGCACAAGCGTCGTTAAGTCCGTGCTGGGCAGCCGGTACATGCCCTCACACGCCATAAAGGCGACCCAGTGGGCGAAGTCGAAGAATACTCCCCGACCCGTGCTCAACTTTATCGCAGAGCACTTGGGATGTGCCACCGATTCTCAGGTGTACCATCGAGAGTCCAAGTTCGCCCGGGTGGTTGAAGACTCCAACCTTCTTGCCAAGTGCGCGAAGTGTGCTGCATTTTCTCAGGACAACGTTGACTTCGAGCCCCGTGTCGGAGTGAGGCAGGGGGAAGGTCCGTACATCCCGTGCGTGGCGTGTGTGGCGAACTGGGTTGGGGAGGAGGTGGGCACGCTCCACGATGCGGGCACGTTGAAACGACTCAGCGAGTTGAGTGTGGACGACATTCTCGTTGGATCAGACGCGGCGGAGGGAGAGCGGAGGTATGGGGCTTTCTTAGCTACGCTATTCGGAGCCGTGTCCAAGTCTGAGCGAATCAGGTCGGCGGAGGGAGGGCCGTTGTGGTGTTTCGAGGCCCAACTCAGGGAGGTGAGTTGCGAAGCATTTTTTTTTTTTTTTTTTTTTTGGTTAGCCGGTGCCGAAATTTGCTCTATTTTGCGGGGTACCAATTCCGGAAAAACTGAAATAGGCGTTGGCTTTTCTTCTTTTTTGCCCCCCCCCCGTATTTTTTGCCCTTCTTTTTTGCCTTTTTTTTTTTTCTTTCTCTCTCCGTGCCTTTGTGCTAATTGTTTGGCACGACAAGCCTTGCCCCCCCCCCCTTTCTTCTCTCTCTGTTGTGTATAATAGGCGTTGGCCTTTGTTTTTTTTGTTCTTTCTTTTTTGCCTTTTTTTTTTTCCCTCTCCCCTTGTCTTTGTGCTAAATCTTTGGCACGGCAAGCCTTGCCCCCCCTTTTCTTCTCTCGGTGTTGTGTATAAGAGGCGTTGGCCTTTGTTTTTTTTGTCCTCTCTTTTTTGCCTTTTTTTTTTTCCCTCTCCCCATGTCTTTGTGCTAAATCTTTGGCACGGCAAGCCTTGCCCCCCCCCTTTTCTTCTCTCTATGTTGTGTATAAGAAGAGGCGTGGGCCTTTGTTTTTTTTGTCCTTTCTTTTTTGCCTTTTTCTTTTTTCCCTCTCCCCATGTCTATGTGCTAATTCTTTGGCCCGGCAAGCCTTGCCCCCCCCCTTTTCTTCTCTCTGTGTTGTGTATAAGAGGCGTTGGCCTTTGTTTTTTTTGTCCTTTCTTTTTTGCCTTTTTCTTTTTTCCCTCTCCCCATGTCTATGTGCTAATTCTTTGGCCCGGCAAGCCTTGCCCCCCCCCTTTTCTTCTCTCTGTGTTGTGTATAAGAGTCGTTGGCCTTTGTTTTTTTTGTCCTTTCTTTTTTGCCTTTTTTTTTTTTCCCTCTCCCCATGTCTTTGTGCTAATTCTTTGGCACGGCAGGCTTGCCCCCCTTCCTCTCTTTGTTGTGTTCAATAGGCGGCGTAGTAGTTGGCCTTTTTTCTTTCTTTTTTTTTATCTTCTTGCGCCTTTTCCACCCATCCTTTTAATTCGCCTTCTGCGGCAAAAGCGTCCAAACACACACTTACCGGGTGAGCACATACTTATTGGTAGTGTTCTCATTACCCTCCTCTTTTTCCCCTCTTGCGCTGAGAAAGTCACGTTAGGGCTTTGCATCCACGTACCCCAGACCGGCGTGATGATGTTTAATTGATGTGAGAAGACACACCACCCCTCCTTTTCCTAACGATCCCTACATTTCAGAACGGTAAATAAAGCTGGATATTTGTGCTCTTCTCTTACCCTTCGTATTCCGCCCCAGGCTAATCCATACACTTGAACGTTCCGCTGCGAGAGGCGGAATGGGATGCTGGCTGATAAGTCAAGGGAACGGTCGGGGGGGGGAGTGTGGTGCTGGGACGACAGCAGGGACTGGCCGTTGGGGAGGAGGAGAAGTTGTTGTGAACATGTACTGTTGAACTTGATTTATAGTCTTGTATTTTTTTCTTTGTTGTGGTTGGCACTTTCCCATAACTTTGACTGGACATGTCTCTTCTTGTGATTTACGATTTGTTATGTGTTCTTCGAACCATTTGGGACTTACTTGCGTGCCGTCCCTAGAATATACTCATTAGCATCATCATTAAAATTTTAAGATTTATTCATCTTAGCGACATTTTGGCAGTCTTGCAAGTAGTGTCTTTTAGAGTTTCGTCGTGTCTTGTGCCTTAGCGTGTTGTTCGAGTAATTGAGAAAGTATTGTTGGCCCGAAGGAGTAAAACTGGCACGCGAGGTACCTTAGCTGGTTGACGTGGTGCTGTATGTAGTAGTTTACTCCGTGTGTAAATGTATCTAATTTTAATGTGCGCTGCTGATTGACTAAACTGGTGCAGACTGCCCAAGTATACGCATATCAATCGCGCCCGCGGGTGCAGTTCAACCTTCGCAGGGCCTAGGTTCCGATTGCGCCGACTCCCAGCTACCGCTGCGACACTGGCTTCGCTGGGTGAAGCGCTTTTTTCTTTTTTTTGTTTCTTCATGTGCTGGAGGGGAGAGAGAGCCGGTGTGCGTCGGCGAAACCCAAAGTTCAAAACTGGGTTCGCGCCGATTAGGCGTTCTCGGCGTATACGGCGTGTTGCAGCAAAATTCAAAGTACTGGGCAAAGCCCACAGCATCTTCTTTCACACACGGGTGCGCCCTTCCGCAACCATCCTGAGGAAACTTAGCATGATGCTTGCGCGCGAGCGTCATTTTTACACGAAACACGCCGCCCCCGACTGCGTTTGGTGGAATTCCAACACACCACTTGACGTACGGTCTGATACGGGCATTTCCAGTTTGTGTGCCAAGTTTCATGTGGATCTGTGCGGTCTGCGCTGCGTTCTCGTCGTCGGACGAAACACGCCCTCGGCCAGGGGTAGGTTGGGCCGCATCCAAAAGTGCCAGGTATTTGCCTCCGAACTTCGAATTCTTCTTTTGTCACGTTCGCGGGCCACAGGCCATGAAACTCGACCAAACAAGGGTCAGAAGACAGTAAATAACTAGCTCTACGGTGTCAGGGTCTTAGTTTGGTGTGGTGTGTCGTTGCCGGAACGCACAGCAGCCCCAAAGGTGTTTCGACAAACGCCTCCATATATCCTGTGCGCAGCACTGAGCAGCCCCGGGACTCGCGGGGGACACGCAACCGAAGGGGCTCCGCAACATCACTTTGGATCCCCACGAGCGAAAAGCCTTCCAGGTTTTGTGTGCTCAAGTCAGTTTGGATCTTTGGTTGAGATCTTGAATCTTGAGGATCCCTCTGACTGGTGTTTGCTGCTACCCATGCTACTATTGCAGCATGGAGTTTGCACGGCGACGGTGGAAGGCATACGCTGCAATGCTAGTGGTATCGGTTGCTCACATATCAGGAAATCTTGTGGGTGCAGCAGCGGCCACCCGGCGGCCAGTACCGTGCGATTTCGTCTGTGAGGTGGGTGCATCACAATCTACCGGGTTGGTTTTTGTATAGGCTCAAAGGACGAGGATTATAACAACGAGGCACTGAATGATGCGGGTACTGACTGGCACCAGGGTACACAGAAGACTGCTTTGAGTGATGGACGGTGTCGCCATCTGAGGGTTGGAAAGTAGCGTACTGCTGTATGCATAGCATCAGTTGTCAATTGTACCCTCACCATCGCTACAGTAGTAGTATTGTACGCTCTCGTCAAGTAGAGGACAACAGCACTTCAAATGCTGTAGATCAGAACCGCTCTCTAGAGGTATTATGTGGGCTGCAGACGGCAGACTAGATGTAGACTAGTGTACTGCAGATCAAATAGGGGGCGTAAAACTCTCATAGATACTCTTTCTACAGTGTTGAGAGAGTAGTGTATGAATCGAATCCTCGCCATCTGCCATGTCCAGCTTTCCGTTTTCACATGCTCGCTCGTGGTGGCCATGTCGTCCCCGCAGGGAGGTGGGTGCGCCTATTCGAACTGCGCGGATGGACCATCGTGTCCTGGGGGCTCTTGTTCATTTCAGAATTGTCGAGGTCCCTCGTGCAAGGGTAAGAGGAGTGATGAGTGCATATGGGAAAAACTACGATGTTGTTGTCCAAAGAGTCTTCATTGACCAGCTGTGTGTTCGAGTGGAATGGCGCGTTTTCCACCGCCCACTTGTCTCTAAGCAGACACAAAGCACCCCTTTTACCATAGATATTTGGAGCAGACATCAGCAGTCTATCCCTCACGGAGGTTGAATTTCTGTCGGTCTGTAAAGTACTTGAGGGCCCCAACATGCCCAAGATCACCTCAACACTGCTGCCGCACGTGCTACCACCGACATTCCTTGTGTTTGCTGCGGTATTTTGTCGACAGCACTTCCTTGTTGCTACCGAGATTTGCATTCTCCCAACAACAACGGCTGGATGTTCTTCCCGAAACAAGCAGGTGGGAACTGCGACTTCATCTCCTGCCACAGCCCGGCGTGTGGTGGAGGCGGCTGCCGTGTCGTGGATCCTCTGAGTACGCTCCGCGACGGCTACTGCGACGGAGGCGCGTGCAAGGTCAACGGCAAGCCGTTTCCTTCGCGCTTTGCCGGGAAGCTCAGCGTCTGAGAACCAAACGAAAGCACGTTTTCCTTTTGTCATGGTGCCACTTGCCATGCGTTCTCTTTGCCGATAGAGAGGAATTCAACAGCACTTGGAAGTGACGGCAGTAGCTTACACAGTCTACTTAGTCTATTCTTCGGCATGAATTTTGACAAGCGAACCAATCAGCACAGAGACACCACATTTTTGACAAGCACCACTTCGCGAAATCGGAGTTGCTTGGTCTTTTCGGCGCTCTATACGGACTTATTGACCACGGTACCAACCCATCCAACCAAGCGGAACGAGGCTTGTGGGAGTACGGAGGCCTTTTTTTCTGGCAGAGTGATGCGCCGGAGTAGGAGGGAAGAGGGAAACAGGCAGCCACTGCCGCCTTTGTGGAATGTTATTCCGGTTGTTCATCTTGCGCTCCTTCCGTGTTACCGCGGTGTCACAGTCCGCAGATTGAGCGCCGGAATGTTCCTATAGGAACGTTTAGGTCCACTCACTCGAGCAAGTGGTCGTTGGCGACGTTTTCTATGTGCGTTTTCGAATGCTCAAGTACGGGAACTCTGGTCCCTGCTGCGAGATAGAGCACCGGACAATTGCGCTGTCGTTGCGAGGAGGGGGGGTCATGCATGAGTATACGCTTCGACCTATTCATCCATGCTTTGGGTGATGCAATGCGACGGGTTCAGCAAACGCCTGCTGCGGAGTTGCTTTCCGTACGGTTGGTGGTCTGCTTGTTCGGGGGTAGCTTATTTGCTGTTCCTGCGGCATGTGAGTGATGTGCCACCGCTCTCTCGTGTGTTCGCGCACGGCTGGCTGCAAGTTGTGCTTGCCTCTACCCATCGCGCCTTTTTCAATTGGCGAAGCTCATCGGCTAGCCCGTCATCATGCGACCGCATCGCAAAAGGTAGTTTGAGTACGTACCCCGATCTCGGAAGCGATGGTGACAAAGGCTGCCAAGTTCGCGTGCCAGTGCGTCCCATCCCAAAGTGCATGTCTCGTTGTGCCTCCGAAAGACCCTCTCCAGGAGAGTGGGTCCTGGACTGTTGGTTTCGGAATGTTGGGTTAAAAAACTACCGCTTGCAGCTTGCCACACTGGGTGGCCTCCACTTCCATACATTCGCATCTAAATCAATCGCAGCTAGCTCTAATCGCAGCTAGCTCTCCGACACAGCAAAAAAAAGAGGTGTGGCAAGAACACGGAAGGTGTCCCATGTAACTTCCCTTTATCTGTTGATGCTCCAGGTAGAGCAATACCGCAAGACGGGCCAGACGCGACGTCCAGAAAGAAAACTACGACATTTAGAGCGAACTACACTGGAAGACTAAAATAGAACGAATCTAGACGTGTGACTATAAATCAGAACAACAATCAAAACTCTGCACTGCCCGGCGATCGCGGGAAGGCGATGGCATCCCGGATGTTCTCAACGCCAGTGACGTAGCAAACCAACCGCTCGAACCCGAGGCCGTAGCCCGCGTGCGGCACGCTACCGTACCTGATAGATACCGATCGCATGCAGGGGGCACCGGGGGGGGGGGTCGAGCTTCGCATCATGCACGTACAAGTGTATGTAGGTCGCGGAAGCGTCGTGGTGTTTGGTGTTAGGGCCCATAGCGTAAGACACCATCTGGGAGGATGTACCTTGTTGAGATAAACAAAGCACGCGACGAATACGCGCCAAGGGATTTGGCCTGTATTTTACCGAGCACCCGACACCATGCAGAGCATGAGACAACTTCAAACACTCCCATTTGTGACTCGTGAATCATTCACCCGCCTTGTGCAGAGCGGCCGCGGCCCCGTTTGGGCGGTTTTGCACACGGGGATAACCACTCTGACGCTGCTGCACCGCGTTGGCCATTGAAGGCACCCACCGCAAAGGAAGGTGACGCCATCATCATTACAGTACAAGCTCGGCATGCCTACGGCGACTTGGTAACCGCGAGCAACGGTTTTCTTTGGGTGGGACGACGACTTAACAAACGAAACAAGCAAGAGGGATGGGGGTGGGGGGCAGATTCGACGTCGGCAGTGTGGCGAAATGATACCGTGCAAAGGCATCATAAAGCCCAATTAAGCCAAGCCCGCAATGCAGCGAAGCATTACCTGCGCAGGTCGTTGTACCACCAATAGTCATCGGGGCTCAAGTTGAACTCCACCATCTTCGCCTCAAGTTGCTCTAGCCGCTCCTCGCGCTGGCTCCCACCAATCAGCTCGCCTGCGATATAGTTGTTGTTCCAAGCGCACGACAACTCAAATCATCGCCGAAAGAGAACAAAAATAGTGGTAGTCCAAGTGCATGGGCTTACATATACTCAAAATAAGCCCAGTTTCCAGCCGCCCCCCCCCCCCCCCCCACTCGTTGCAGATATTTCATTCAACACACCCCCTTCCCTGTGGACATGTCTCGAATGGGTAGTCTTTCTGTGATTTTATTAACTACTGTTTCTTTAAAAAAGGGGAGAAAAACGGTCGTGGGAGTTTGGCGACTCAAAGAAAACAGAACAAAACAGCATAGACTACATGTGAAAGTGCGTGCCAGCAAAAAGAAGAAAAGTCCACAGCTTGCTGGCGCTAGGAAACGTTGTTCTTGTTGGTTAGTCCTGTGCTTCGCCGCCCCTGCGCAGGGCAAGCGAAGGGCAAGAACTCCCAGCAACAAACTTTACGAAAAACAAGGCGTCGTATTCCTGGATTGGTGGACACGACCTTGCAGAAGAAGTACAGCACTGCTGTAGTGCTTAGGGTTAGGGTTAGGGTTAACATAAACAGTCGCGAAAAAGCAAAAAAATCAACAACCGCCGCCGTTGCTGTTGCTGTCAGTTGACCCACCCATCCTTTTGCCAAGGACAAGTACTCGACGGTCCGCGAATGCCACGCGACTGCCTCACCGTACCCCCCGTGTGGTTCTGGAAAGGAAGCTGCCAACCATTGCAGTAATGGCCGATGCCATTCATCCTGGACTACTCCGAAAGCAGAATCCACACGCACACACACCAGAGATTTATTTTGGCAAGTGCATTCAGTGCGTTGCGCACCTTTCGAATTTGGACCCCTACCAGGGGCCTTGATTTTATCCGTTGGCGCTCAAGTTGGTCCCCGCGGTCGATGCAATACAATAAACACACACACACACACACACACGCACACGAATCCTCCGCATTTTTTGTTCCCGTGCAGGGTGTAACGCCCGTTTCTCTTACCAACCCCGGGCACGAGCAGGTCCATCGCCGCCACCGTCTTCCCGTCGTCGTTGTCCCTCATGTAGAAGGCCTTGATGTCGCGGGGGTAGTCGTACACGAAGACGGCAGTATTGTAGCGCGTCTCCGCCAGCCAGCGCTCGTGCTCCGTCTGAGGCAAAAACCAACATCAACCCACCGCACGCACACACGAAAGGCGTGCTTGGTGAGCGTCACCCCGCGGGACGGACGTATGCTTCAACTGAGAGTTGAGTGTTTCGGAATTACTGTGAGCAGGCCCGTGCTATAAGGGCTGGACCAAATCCTGAGATTGTGCTTCTCACCGCCGCTTACACTCAAGTTTTCAAACTATCCGGTCGCGTCACCCCGAATACTTCAATTTGCTACAAAGTCGATGCAAACCGGAACCGCCTCAGCAAAAATACAAAACGCGTGCGGGCTACGATTCTTGGTCGTACTGTTCGGGCTTTGCTACTCTCGTACGTTAGCCGCCCCCCCCCCAAAAGCACACACACAAAACATATATTACCTCCTATTCAAGCCCACCCCAGGACGTGACGAACCCTCCCCCCTCCCTGTCAAACCTCAATTTCCAGACTCCCCCCCCCCCCCCGCCCTTCAAACCTCACTTTCCGGAAACCCCCCCCCCCCCCCCCGTTCGATCCTTCCCCAACCCTCCTCACCTGCAGGTCGGTCCCGAAGGAAACATCAGGGAACGCCCACTTGGAAGGGTCCTTGGCGATCTCCTCTTGGAGAGCAGTCACCGCATCGGCGTACCGCACCTAGCCAGGGGGGCATCCGTCAAGAAGAGGCGGGGAGAGAGGGGGGAGAGGGGGCGCTTATTCACTCCTTGCCTACCTTTGTCACCTGACGCTTTAGCACACACTTCGTCTGAGACGGTGCATCGTTCCTCGTGCTAGTGGGGGAACCACAAGCTCTCCGTGGCGCATTCGAACGTTTCGCCACAATTGGCACTGCTGACGTTTCTGACATATCTTACATCCGTCTTCTTTCCGCCGTTTGCGGTAACCATTTCTCTCCATGGCGTACGGCAAGCACGCCGTACGCACAAAGGATTGAAACACCCCCCTACCCGATAGACACAGGCAACCCAACACCCCCACGCTGGACTCTTTAGATTGAGCCTGAAAATCCACCTTCGCTCCCCACTCCACCTCCTCCTCCACACCTTGACGTAATCACTTCTATTGGTAAAAGTACATGCTTGCGAAGGCTCACCCTGACGAAAGGCTTGTCCTTTATCCGCTGGAGCCTCTGGAGGAGCTCTTTGTCGTAGAACTTGTTGAAGAACTCAAGGTCGGAGCCGCACACTTCCATGGCGTGAGAGACCACGTGCTTCACGAAAGCCTCCTGGTTGTTTCATGAAAAAGAGAAGGGGCGTGAACGCTGCTGCCGCCAAAGTGTATGTGTGCCTTTTCCCCTTGTTGTACCACCAAAGAGAAGCGTGATGCTGCTGATCTAGTGAATGTGTGCTACTTTCCCTTGCTGTAAAATCAAAAAGAAGCGCCGCTGCTGCTATTGTGTGTGTGTGCATTGTTATGTTCCCTTGCGTCAAACGGTATGCATACAGTAGACCACACCGCGGAGGGGTTGCCCCCCTGCGAGCATCGCACACGGCCTGCACTGCCAGCTCTACCATCCGCCTCCCGACACAAGTACCGGTGGTACAAGGTTTTCTTAGACCACCACAAACACCGATGAAAAGAACGAACGGGGACTTGCAGCAGCAGCAGCAGCAGCAGTGCACCGCACAAACAAAGCGAGAACATCGAAGTTATACTACTTACCGTAGGGTGGAAAAACGACCCAACGAAAGCAAAAAAAACTCTTCAACAACTCACCGCGTTGTCCATGTCATCCCGGAGGTCCGCGAACGACATCTCTGGCTCGATCATCCAGAACTCGGCGAGGTGCCTTGTCGTCTGGCTGTTCTCGGCGCGGAACGTGGGCCCGAACGTGTACACGTCGCCCAGCGCGCAGGCGTGGGTTTCCCCAGACAGCTGGTGGAGGCCAAAACAACGGGCGTGTGTGTGTCGAGGTGGGGGGCGGCTTCAACCCGGCGACAACATACATTGCTACAATAGCAAGCCCTTGGTGGCAGGAGCACCCTCCTCCGCGATGAACTAATGCACTGGTCATTTTTCGGCCGTATCTATTTAGTGCAAGCATACCTGGTGAAGTAGAGGGGGGGGGGGGGGGGGGG